CCTTCCTTCCTTCCTTCCTTCCTTCCTTCCTTCCTTCCTTCCTTCCTTCCCTCCCTCCTTTTGCCCGTATAATATAGGCTTGCATCATATATCCTCCTCACACAGCCCTCAAGTGAACCCTGGTGAAGCCTCTTTTTCCTCAACTGACCCATGGAACTGCCTGCCACTTTGCTGGGGGGAGGTGGAACAAAGGGAGCTGCAGACCATGAGGAAAACTGCACCCCCACTCCCCATTCTGGCATGTACCCAAGCGCCCCCTCCCTCCAGGGAGGAAGAGGGCTCACTCATTGACCACTTGTGATCCCCGCCCCCCAGCCAGCCCTACCTCACTAGCAGGCATCCAAGTTGCTCCCTCATCCTTCTGTCAACACCCACAGCTGTTAAGAGATTTCAAATTTCTACCTGGTTTCCAAAGCAGCCAATTGCTGTACAACTATCAAGACTTGGCACCAGCCAATTGGGCACAGGGGACAGAGGGAGCCAGGAAAGAATTTGGGGATACACCCATGATGACCATATGACCTGGGCTAGCCATGGCAGTGGAGCAGCATATCAGTGCTGAAGCAGCCAAAGTTCCCAAATTTCAATTCCATGAGAGCCATGGGTCCCAGATTTTGGATGCATTCTGTAAGTTAGCCCATTTGAGGTACTTTGGTTCAAAAAGTGTTGCCCTACGATGCACTGTTGTGTCTAGTTGAAGGTTACAGACATGAGAGTTTTAGTAATATATAGATGCCCCTGCTGCTGCCAATGTCCCAGTTCTGCAACAGTCCACCTTGTCTTCTTCCCCTGCCTGCCTTAGCTTCTGCCACTGCCATGGCCAATGTCCAGCATGATGGTCTTACTAGCCCAGATGGCACCAGTCAGATGCTTTCCTTTTTCTCATTCTTCAGCTGATGCTACTAATAATTTTGACTTTTTCCCACTCATACCCATGAGCCACTTCTGCTGAAAACAAATGCATTTCAGTCCATCTTCAGAACAAAACAGATGTTTCATTCTGATACTGACTGAAATCAGACTTGCCCCAGACCTACTGGCTTTTTGCAAGGCATTCAAGACCTGGCTTTGCAATCTAGCCTGGGGCTGGGTGAGCCTGTTTCATGGCTGACTGTGGGATGGGATGTTATGAATGTTCTTGGCTGCTATTTTATGCTGTTTATGTTGTTTTTTTAAAATTTTGTTTTTATTCTGTTTTTAATTGTTAGTTGCCCAGAGTCTTGTATATGAAATGGGCAGCCATATAATTTATTAAATAAATAAAGCATCAAAACACATGATTTGGTTTAGGCATGGCTCACTCAAAAGGTCCAACTGTCAGGGCTTCTCAGTAGTGTCCCCCAATTTATTGTACACTCTACCCCAGAAATATGGTTGGCTGTTATTTTTGACAGGCTAAAGCAGCATTGTTCCACTGGGCATTTGGGCCATAGGATGTACTGTTTTTGTTTTCTATTGTTATTATTTATGTCTATTTTTAATGTATTTTTGGACTCTTTTTTTAACTCCACCAGGAGTCCACCCTGGATTGAGGTGGCAACAAATATTGCAAAATAAATGATTAATTAATAATTAAACCAGCTGTTAGATGCATAGAATGTGCACAGAACATTTAGTTTATCTTTATTTAGCAAGTTATTTAGACTTTACGGAATTTCCTTCTTCTCTTCTGTCACGCTTCAGTTGGAGTCTGAGCTGGAACCATTTAGGGTAGGTCACAAGAAAATCCAAGAACTGAGTACAGTATAAGGAATATTTTCTAAAGAAAGTTCAAAGTCTGTACCAAAATATGGTTCAAATCTTATTTTTTTGTCCAAACTTTCAATTTTGGCCTCAACTTTTATGTAGGCTTGCTCATTTTCATCTGTTCTAGGTTTTTATAATGGACTTATGCTTCTTTGACATATTGCTGTGTGATACTTTCACAGTATTTGCTTTTTCACATCTCTTCGCTCCTGTATCTAACAGAGCTTGGAGCTTCTTTCTCCCATGCTTCCCTGATCCTTGGTTTAAGAGAAAATGAATTCT